TTCATGGCTCCGCTGATGGGGCTTATAAGTTTTTCCTTTACAAGGAGCCCTGAGAATCACAGACGTCACTTCCGAGCGTGTGCGGGAAGAAAGCCATCGCTTTACTTTAATGAGCCTTTGTTTGTGAGAACCATGCCCATCCATTTAGTTTATTGGCCGCCGGGCCCCAAGCACCAAGTTTTCTTGTCAATTTCCTGTTGTTCAACATTACTGCACTTGCTTATTAAGCCTTATTTTATGGTTGTCGCTTCGTGATTTGGGTTGAGGGCACTGTGGGTTTGTTGGCCCTTGCTGGTAAGAGGACCCACGTGACTGGCCAATCACAACGGCTCAGGGAAAAACCCTTGTGTGTAGTTTCTATAGTGCGGGCCGCTCACTGAGAAATGGCCACCGATGGGGCGGGAGAAGGGAACCTCCCACCGAAGCAGACAATCAGCAGAAGAAATGCAAGTGACGGAAGAGGAAATCAGAAAGTGTAACCCGATTAAAGACGGCAGGTCATAGCAATCGGGTAAAACACGAGCCAATTAAAGCACCCCTGGTGCTGCAAATTTTCATTACACTCACCATGAATGCCCAAAAAACAGATCCTCTTCGTTAAAGCATTCACGACCCTCCCCCATTGTTCCACAGAAAATGCCTTCGGAATCGGGGAAAGAGGGCTGCAAACAAACGCCATGGGACGATGCAGGCGAAATGCCTTCAAAACAAGGTGTCTTTTATCCTCCTGGTCATTAACCGACAACAATACATTCACAGGGAGGTGAAGAATCAGACAGACGTAGCTTAAGTTCGACGTCTTCCCATCGTTAACTGAGCCGGCAATGATATTCATTACTTATGGTTGCCTCCGGCACTCGTCCCCCCCAATGGCCACAGAGAGCGGCCCTGCAACTCAGAGCTGCTTAATCTAATGGTGTAACAATTGTGCTGGAGCCCCAACTCATATGAGCAGGACTAATGCAATCTGTGAGAGCCCCTGGAATCAGGGCGTAATTAGATTTGCCTGTTCTCGATGCACACCACACTGACTCATTCCCTGGAATTGAACTCTGCTGGAATGGGCCAAATTAACCCATCCGCTGCTGCAATGGAGTCTACAAGATTAGAGGAAAAGTTTTGGAGGCTCCCATGAACATTCAACGTGGGCCGGTCTGAGCTTGTCCCCATGGGTTATTACCCTACGTGACAATATCTAGGATTCCAGATACGAGGAGCTCGGGGCAAAGTGACCCGAATAAATGAAGGAAGGTCGTGTCCTGTCTGCTAACTGTACACATTAGCACAAGACCCTGAGGATTGAAGGGGTAGTCAACCCCATTAAATAATTGGTATGTTCTCAATACATCTTTGAACGGCCAAGATTCCTTAATTGTGCTAAACAAAGGCTAATCGTGTGGAATTGATTAGCACGGCTCGCGCTTTGTGACCCAGGATTCCCTGCTTGCTGTTTCCCTAAAGCGTCCTAATTGGCTTTCAGGCTGCAAACTTAATCCACAGGGCTGTTAACCGCACCGCGCACAGGGATGATACGCGTCTGAAGACGTGCGTGTGTTTTAAAAGCAGCCACTCCACATGTGAGGATGTTTCCATCTATATTCTATAGTCGCTTATCCAGAACAAGGTCAAGGTGAGCCTTATACCAGTCCCAGGAAGCAACGGGAACAAGGCAGGAGACGCTCTGGAGAAGATGCCAGGCCATCACAGGGTACACACTCACACGCTAAGGGCAATTAGAGACACCAGTTCACCTAATGGCAGTTTAAAAACACCACTTCATCAAATCTTCTTGGTTGCTGGAGAAAGCCCATGTAATACAAGGAAAACACGCAAACCCTGTGGGCACAGAGCAAGGGTTAGATGCAACCCCCGAGCCGTGTGATAAGATTTATACACTAGGATTGTGTACATTTTGTAGATATTGGCATGGTGCTATGAAACGGAGTCCACTTTAGTTTGGGTTTTATTTGCAGAATCGCTTTTAACCTGCAGCTTAGTGCCAACAATGCATGTGAAACTTGCAGTCACACGACTCCAGCAGTCGTGCGCGTAGCGCAGTATAATCCTTATGTGCTGTGTGGTATTTTTACGGCCTGGTATGGCTTCTCCCAGAGCCTCTCCTTGTTCACGAGCAGCAGAGGCTAACGGCGCCTTGCCTCGAGTACTTATTCAGTGCCCTTACACCAATCAGGTCAGCCAGCTTATTTAATTCTTTCAACAGAAGCAGCAATAGGTGGCCCGATTTTGTTTACGTTGCCCAGTAACCGGAAGAAAAACAGGAATAACTAAGCAGTTATGGAATTATCCATGGCAAGTCTTTGAAGAATCTCACTCCTGATTGACATGTGCTGATTCTCTCTTCCAGATTTATATCAGGGTGTGGCTGTCTGCACAGCACAGTGTAACGTGTAATATCCCTGCCCCCCACAGCACGCGGACGCTCCTCTCTCCCATTTCACACCTTCTGCCCCGTCGTGAGCTGTCACACGGCATGACCGTACAATGACAAACTTCATCTTAGCTTTCATTAAAAAGGTACCGGTGATCCCTCCAGGATCGTTTTACGCTCTGCAGCCGACGGCGTGCGCTAGATATCATTCTGAGAAGAAGTACCAGATGTGGCCCCCCGTCTCTCAGCTGCACACGTGTATCCCCTGAGCTGTTTATATTTTTACCTGAATATTGCTGTGAAAGTGACCTATTAAGCTGACAGATTTTTTTTCTTTCAAATGTCATATGTTGCTTGAAGAAAGAATGGTTAAATGTGTACAGTATATAATACATTCAATGTCCTAAAAATGTGCAGACCACATAAATAATCCAATATGTGTATGAATACAGCAAAAAAGCTCAAAAGATTATTAACAATAAATAATGCGGTCAGTGAAACCAGAAACATACTGTGGATGTCTCAGCATCCCTCGATTACCAAAACAGGCAACGATGACCTCTGCTGGTCAGATGTAGTGACATAGCTAGACGTTTGGTTCTCGAAATGCAGCATTTCGTTTGCTTTGGAGCTCAGAAACCAGCATGTGAGCCGGCCTGTGGGTAACTCGGCAAACCGCAAAAATTCTTTCGCGACAGCTGAAAAAAGTCAATTTTCCAGTGCCGGCACTACCTGCCCTCTTCAGCAGGTGGCAATGTAAGAATTAAGGTGTTTATCGTATCTGGTTTACTGGGGCCGTGTATAAAGCAGGACCCCTGGGCAGAATAGAACGGGGGCCTCGCTGAAAATAATTTAGAAAACCACTGCCCCCTCTGCTCATGTAACACCAGAACTGATGTAATTAGTCTCGTAAACCTTCAGGGCACGGGAAACAGTGGGGAGAAATATGACCTTCAACGCAGATGCCTGCCCTCCACTTGTGTGGATGGTGCCCTGCACAGGGATTTGCTGCACTGGTGGACACCCTCCCCCCATTGGTGCACCCCCACCCCCCATCTTAATGGACCACTCACTTTTTATTGGTTCATTTATCTGTATGTTTGCAAGACGGGACATGGCTCTCTAAGCTGAGCCCTTTCATTCGTTAACCCAAAACTAGGCCTGACACTAATGTGTGGTTCCACCCTGCCTTTCGAGACAAAGTTTCTCTGGAACCTTTTTTCTTTTTTTTTTGGGGGGGGGGGCAGATACATTCGAAAACACATTATACCCGTGAAATTTAAAGAATGCAGTTTATTGCATTCATTAATAATTTAGCAGAAAGTCTAGCACAAAAAATGTGTACATGATAACAAACAAACAAACAAATAAACAACAGCTACAAAAAAACTGTTAGGATGTCAAGGTTAAACGGAAAAGCCTTTATTGTAAAAACAGTACCGCACCGGATAACTGTGACACAAAAGAAGAGAGCAAAAGATGCCTTCTCAATGTGCCATTTGGTTGATCGACCCAGGCCAGGGAGTATAAACCACCAAATAAGCTAGAACCCCACAGTTCAGGGAAAACCACAGGAGGACACCAAAGGACACTGAAACGAATGTTTGCACAAGGCCGGGTACAAACCGAAGACACTCTCCTTCAGATGTTGACAGAGTGGCACTTTCTGCTGATCAGACACGTTTCCTCGATTGGCTCAGTCCTTTAGCGAGACTCTTTGACTGAGAGTAACGATTGCGGAGGCCTCAGCCACATCGCAGTAGGCCGGCCGCCCGCCCGACGGCACATACATTTATGCATGAAAACCTTCTGAAACTTTAATAAGTTTGCACCATTAATCTAGTTGCCATTTTGTAAAGCGAGGATTAAAGTTTCATTTGTATTTTTCTTAAGCATCTCTCCGATCTCCATCTTCCTCCTCAACTCCTTACCACCCTTGGACAGTTAAATATTAATCGATGTTGAATCACGCGCTGTGGAATGTTCTGTCTCCTTTCTCCTAAGGACAGTCGGGACCGCTCTCAGATTCCGACCACAAGGGACCAGAGAAAAGGGGAAGGGAAGGGAAGGAGAAATTACAAGGTAAAGAGTGGACAGGCAGATCCAGAATCTGCAGATGACCTCCAGCATGTGAGATACAGCATTTAAGTGTGTGCTACCACCTGGAATCTTCAAATTCTGCGCTGTAAGAACAAAATTACTGCCTCATGAATGTGTCTGAAAGCAACAGTTTTTTCCCCCCTGCTGTAACCCCTAAGTACACTCAGGAGGCATCCTGGGGCCTGTCCTACGAAGCAGGGTTACTTGCTTATCAGGGTAACTTGTCGGATTTAAGGTAGTCTGGGAAAAATGTAAGTGAACCAATATGAAGTCCATTTAAACTGTGGTACCTTAAATCCGACAAGTTACCCCGATAAGCCAGTAACCCCGCTTCGCAGTACAGGCCACTGGTATGGCTCCATGCAAGGATGACAATGTAAATCGTGGCGTAAAAGAAACTTTTTTTTCTGGCGCTCCTCAGTTACAATTTCAGAATAATCCGCAGTCATAAATCATCGTGGTATATAAATCAAACACTCACCGCGGTCTCGGATTCAAATTGCCAATCTAGGGGGGGAAAAAAAGAAAAAACTGAATCATCCGAGATTGAAAAAGCCCAGTAAGTAGGCAAGGTCTCGGCGCGGCGCCCCGCCCTTCGCGGAGCCCACGCTGTGAATGGAGGCTGAGCAGCCAGGGGGAGTGAGACGTGCGGCGAAAGACGGGCAGGACGCGAGAGAAAACCATCGTGCGATCCCCCCCCACCTCACCCCATCCCACCCTCCCTTCATGTCAACGCAACTGGGCTGCGCAGCACACGCCGGCAAGGGGGGAGAAAACCTTTAGGCATGGAGCGGAACTGGCCGTCTCTCGGCAGAAAACGCAGGAGCGGCAGCAACTTTGCGACTGACGCGCTGTCTTCACGCAGCCACTTCGGGCGTTTGTTGTGTCCTTAGGAGGAGGACGCGGAACGGCGGCGCAAGAAAAACTAAAACATCTCATACTTTACGAGAAAGCAGGAGTGGAGCGAAAGGTATGAGCACAGGACAGTATAAGAAATAAATACAACCCTGCTCTGTCTATATCGCTTGGGGTAATGAGAAAACCGGACAATTCTTGCAAGCCAGTCGTTTTAGCTGGCTTCGGTGTTGCTGTGCTGCAGAAATGATGAAAGGTTGTTTCTCACTTCTCCAGAAGAGGATTTTCCAAAACCAGGAGGCGTCTGAATGAAATAAACATTTTCAATCGCCAGCGTAATTCGCTTTCCAAGAGTGGTCATCAGATCCGCGCCGCATGTGGGAAAAGTATGGGATGCATCGCTGTTCGCAGCCTGAGGACGGACGAGTCAGTGAGAGGATGGTGTCTGATCGTTAAGGCTGAAGTTTAAGTAAGTTTATGGGAGGAAAATGGGTTCAGAAGATAAAGCGACGCATCTGCTCGTTGACTGAGTCTGAAGAAGGACATGACTAGAGTACGTTTCGTGAATCAAATCTGGAGAATGGAGTTTTTTGGATATAGAAACAGTCCGACTAACCAGTGCATAAGAGCAGCCAAATAGAGACCTTTATTACCTTCGGTCTGAACGCGGAATTTATGTTTACTTACGTGGGACTTTCCTGGCATGCAAAGACTAATCTACCTTTAAACCTTTTTGCGCAATTCTGTAAAAACTTTTGATATATGTTTTCATTGCCGATTATACGAATGAGGAATCTGTAAACGGTACATTTACAACTGAGGATTTGAATCGTTTTCTTAGATGTGGGAAAAACTAGGATTCCAAATGTATGTACTGGAATTTAGACCACGAAAGCCTTATTATCATCTAAAAAGCAAACGCATTTAAACTGGTGAAAACTGCATTAAATCGACTGGGGGGGAAAGAAGCTCGAAAAGGCACCCGATCGGTGTTGGCCCTATGGACAAGAACATTTCAGCTTACCAAATGGAGTTGTCACTTTTTGCTGTTGCCCTCATATCTTGGGTCTCGGTGTGGGCGGACGATAGCAAGGTGATTTCCGACAGATATGCAGTCTACTGGAACAGCTCAAATCCCAGGTAAGGATGGGAAAGGGCCAGCGTTCACAACACGACCCCACACAACATCAGCGTTCATTTAAGCTGATAAGATATGCCCTGGAAATGCATCCCCTCAAAATAATTTTCGCCAGCATTTAAAGCTATTGCATCTATTGGCTTGTTTTCCATATTTCCGGACAGGTTTTAATTGCAGTCTGCAGTCTGGGGTATTGCGATGGTTTTATCGATCGCAAGTGATGCGGCTACTTAAAGTTTGCGCAGCTGAGCGACGTGGAGACTTAGGGCGGGAGCGTTAGACTGCGGTTTCACAAGTTGCCTTGAAGGTGTCTTTACAGACTTTAGGTTATATCAACAACTTTTGCTAAGGCCACCGCTTGTTTCCCAGCTGTGCCTTTCCTGATCATTTTTCCCGCCACTGTATTCTCATGTCTTTGAGTGCATATATCTGCACTCAATGATTTTTGCGGTCTTTCGTTTATGAATATGGTTTATTTATTTACTTATGGCACATATTTATACAAATATTAAATGTTTTGATTATTCTATTCGCCAGGAGTTATTCTGCAGTACTCTATGAGTTAAATGTTACATAATAAAGTATCATGATAAAAATATGTACAAAAAAGTAACCTAACCTTCGGTTTTGGGTTGTTTCTATTCTGCGACATGGGCTGCTGTCGAATATGAGGTATAGATTGCGTCTGTTTCATCTGCTCCTCAATTTTCAGTCAAATTTATCCTGTGATGTAAGAAAATCCTGTAAAAAGATTTGAAGATTTTATCTGCAATTTATCTGGGGGGAACCTTATTGTCGCATAAATCAAAACTATTTCTGTCTAATTTATGATTCTTATCAAATCTGTCTATTTCAATTATAGATTAACTAGTTATTCTTCTTTAGATCCGGGGTCTCACACTAAAGCTAACTGAAGGTTGTACATATGCTGGTTTTCCTTCCAACGAAATTCTTGGGCCCAGTTCGTCCAATTTGCAATCAAGCAAGTATTGTATTCATGTGGTTCTGAATTCCAGAACAATGGCAATTAAAGGCAGCATTTATTAAGTACTGGGCGTGAAGAGAGATTCAGGTGAACTTTATTGTATGAGGGGAAAAAAATAATCTAAAATGTCAGACAGACTTTGGTTACTGAGAAATTGAAAATGAGGATCTGGAGCAAGGCTGCACAGATATGGCACAGAATGCTGTTAGTTTGGGTCCAGTTATTTAAATGAAGAGGAGGCCAGCATTATGCTTTGCAATAATCTACAGCACCTTAGCAGAGCAGGTAGAGAAAAGAGCACTCTGCTGTCTCTGTTAAAAATGAGTTCTGTAGATAGAGGACCTAGAAAAGCTCACTGTATGGTCAGAGGGGTGACTTGTTCTGGCAGGGTAAATGTGAACATGGTTTATATGGATCTGTGAATATTCACAATTGCATCAGTCAAGCCGTTTCACACGCTGCACTCTGATCATAGAAAGTTGCCAGATTAAACACTTTAGGGATGCCTGCTCTCACAAATCTTAGTCTAAATTGCACTCTTTTCAAATACCCTGGTATTTTATGTTGCACAATCACTTTTCTTTCGCGTCTTTAACCACTATTCACTTTTTGTGGCCCATACGCCATGCTGTCGTCATCTTACTGTTAAGGTTATGTTGCATTTGCTGGTCTTCATGTTTTAGCTGGGAACGATTTAAGTGCTGGGATGAGAGATTCCCTGGATCCTGAGAATTCTGTTTCATTAGAAACCTGTGGATTAACACATGCCTCAGGGAGGCGAAAAGTGAGATTTGCATTGATGTGGCAGAGTTTTCCAGAAGCCCGGTATTAACGCGCCGGATGGTGAGACTTCTGAACGACCTTGTTCACAGTTTCGCCATGGACAAAGTTAATTTCCGCATTTGGTGCATTTGCATCCCTCATGCCTTGAATTTTAATATATTTTCTGCGTTGTTGACGCATTGTACACATTTCGGTCTTGCCGATAACCTTGGGGGGGGGGGGGGGGGGGGCTGTTGGTTTCCCCCTCACTCATTTCATCTGGTTAATCTGGAAATTTCCCATTATTGCCTGCCTGTTTTTTGATTGCCAAATGTATTATTTCAGCATTGATGAATAATAGCGCGCCTTTACGGATACATCCAAAATGTTCATTTTCTCTGCAAAAAGTCCAAAAAGAAGTGAGCACGTCAGTAAAACAATTATGGTGAATAGGTTTAAAGTTGTAAATTATAAATATTCATAAATGCATTTGGCGGCTCGTGCCTTTTTCCGGCGCTCTTTTTTAAGGCTTTGTTACTGGGAGCGCTCCACTGATAACGAGACGTGTACACTTGAACGGCGGAGAAGTTAGGGTGCTGGAGACCCAGCTGCAGGAAGCATCAACTCCACAAAAGAGCTGCTCCTGCACAGGGAACGAAAATGGCTTATAAAGTGCCAAAATGAGGCCTCCTTGTTACATCTGCACAGACAAAAACAACATGATGAGGAAGGTTATTTTAATCTGCCTTATATTGCCTCTGATCCGCTAAGGGCCAGGTGCATCTTTTGACGGCTTTCGATTTTTAACCTCACGAACTGGGTGTCGGGTTCCTCCTGCACTCCCATCGCACTAGACGTGAAACGACAGTGTTCATCAGCTTGTTTATGCGGGTTCGAGTGAGTTCTGCCGCAGTTTTTTGCAAGGCTGTAAATGTCACGACTTATTACGCTTTAAACTTGAATTTGAAATGTAATCTGAATATTTGAGGTAATAAAATATGATGGCGGACTGCATTTCAACATTCTGCGAGTATCTGCAAGCAGTATGCAAATGTAAAAGTCCTCAGTGGTACATTTTAACGTAGTTATCTTTGACTATTTTTTGTTTACGAGGTTTTTAAGGCTAATAAATTGAATATTCGTATCAATAATATTTGACAGTTTCCATTCAATTGTGATTTTTTTTTAAAATCCTGTACCCCACCTCAGCAGTTTATTTAGGTTGAGATTTAAATATAATAATAAACTATTTGCCTTGGAAAAAAATCCAGCATTACACTTCTGGTTTTGTTTTCTAAGTTTTTTTTTTTCTCAAAAGTTAACAGCTTTGCAGTTTTCTATGTAAAATGTTTTGTTGCCAGACCATCCACCCGACATAAAATAAGTGTAAATGCTCACAATTTCGGACAGTAGATGTATTATGGGCAGTAAATCCATAACAAAATCTCAAGTAAAGCTGAAATTAAGGTCCACTGACCACACTGAGAATAAGCATCTATTACATGTTTGGAGAAATAAAATTATTAGCAACAACTGTCACACTTGGCTTCTATGTTAATAATTTATTTTACTTTTATATATATATATATATATATATATATATATATATATATATATATATATATATATATATATATATATATATATATATATATGGAGTTGTTTTCACATCACATTTGCTGATCTTCAGTGACCCATTGGTTGATAACCGTAGGATGAATGTGCATGTTAAATGTAAAGACATCAATTATTTTTGTTTTCCCAGACACTTATCTGTATTTTCAGTCTTGTTGGCCAAATATTGATTGATTTTAATAATGTTGGCAAATACTGACTTCCTGTGTTTTACGAAATGTTAAGTTCTTCTTGTGCTGTAGCATTCCTTGACCTAATAGGGTCATTTATAAGCAAGCAGTCTACTAGGCTCATGTCACTGGCTGGCAGATGAATTGGTCAGCAGTATTAGCTATTATTTTTTACGCTATGGACCCTTCCCCCTTCGAATAAAATATATTAAAAAGTTGGTTTCAAGCCTATGCTGTGGACCATTAGTGAAAACATCAGGATTGTATTGATTACTCTCCGGTGAATCTTGTTACTTGTGTGGCAACTTAAGAGAAAACCACAGGGAAACGGCGTTAATCAGTGGCTGGAATTACACTGCACTAGGTATACTTCTGTGGCACTTCATTTCTTGCTTACCCTTGTTCATTGTACTCCTTTATGCACCGTAAAGCCTTTCACGCCTTTTCCGCTTTACGATACGCTTCACGAACTTTATTTTACGGAGGTTTCTGGATATGAGCCTGAAAAAAGTGCAGAGAAGAGAAAGGTCAACCGAGACTGTCCTTTGTGATATCTTTGAAAGGCTTTTATGTTTGTATTTACAGTGTGTTTTGTGTACTTGCATAATGTAGATGTTCTTATCAAGTGTGACAGGGACCAGCAAGGACATTGTTAAAGCTTTGTTTGACTTCGAGTTCTGAAATTTTGACCTTGAAGATCCATTTCAAAATGGCAACTGCGTACTTATTTTGAGCTCCTCTAGATGGCGTAGGCTTGTTTTTTGGCTTGGGGAATGTTCTCGCCGCCATTTTCTGATTATTGTAAAGGCGGCGGTAGTTTGTTCGAGAATAGCAAATTAAGACAAATAAACAAGATGGAAGCAGAAATATTTCCGTCATAGACATTTAGCTAGCTCTTTAATTTTAATAAAAAATTCTTCTCTGCGATTAAGCAGTGATTTATAAAAGAATCGTTTTTTTTACAAACGATTCACACTGTTTAAACCCGGAATGTGATGCACTTAACGAAACAAATAAGAGCTGGTAATATTTCGCTTCAAAAATGTCTTTTTGATTAACAACGTAGTAGAATATGGGGAAATAGAAAAGTAGGAGGTCTTGGAGTCATTCTTGTCATTTTAAAATGCCCAGTATAACCGTAAGAATTTTAAGAATATATCTTTTATAATTGTAATTCTCGAAAACATCACGTTGAGATTTACGTTGCATTAAACTACGTTCAGTTAGCAATGATTCATAAATCTGCATTTGAGAATCCTGCACTTTCACAATACTGGATTTTTTTTTATACCTTTCTTCAGTTATGATTCAAAAATGGTTTGCATGTTGGAATCAATGGGAATCTTGTGCCCTTTTAAACATGGAAAAGTTATTAAAATATTTTGCGTAATAAAAATCATATTTATGGGGAGGCACTTTCTGCCTGGCTATCTCTCTGTCCTGCTGGAGT